TTATTGTCAAGTTTGCAGGCATAGCAGCATGGCAACATACGGGTTTTTACTATGTTGAACTTTGTCATGATATATCGCCACTTATCAAACATCTTTCGACGATGCCAACATTCTTTATGTAATAGTTATTTTTCAATTTTTGAAGCAATTGCTTTCGGTTATTAGGAGGTTGGAAATAAATGAACTGGTCGACTTGTAATAGTTTTTCAGTTTTTGTTTTAAATTTTATGATGTCTTTATTTTACCTCAAAATCATCACTTGTTTTTGTTAATAAGTAACCTTCAATTTTCATCTCAATCAGATTTATTGAACCATCTGCACGTTGATGCTGGTAAATCAATGTCATCAAGAGACCTGTCATTTTTACAGTTGCTTCTTGCCAATTCTTACCACTATTTGTTTTTCTTATAGCCTTTTTAATACTTCGAAAATGTTTTCTGATACTTTAACGCTTTCTGCAGTTGCCCACAATCCATCGTGCTGAAATGAGTCAAATGGTTTTGTGAAATCGATAAAACAATGGTAGTTATTTTGTTTGCAAGTTTTTGTATTTTTTATCAATAGCTGTAACATCAAAATATGTTGGATTGTATTTTTTAAACCTGCTTACTCGTCACTTCAATGTTGTTCAATATTTTCACCTGTTGTTCAAGCCGTTGCTTATGTGAGGAATCAGTACCTAATCTTTCAGATCTTCTTTCTTTGAAAATATGAACAGACTGAACCGACTCCAGCAAGTGATCACTTACAGCGTAAAAAGCAGTGTAATAACGGTATTACCTCCAGATCAACATTTCGTATCAAACGGCCTTTACTTCCTCTATATGTAATTCAACGATTCTTACTTATCCTAATTTGGAATACAAACTTAAACTTGTCTTGTAGCATGGTACACTACACACGTTAGCATTACATCAATCATCACAAACCATATACCATAAAGTACACTGAACGATATAATAGAAGAACATGTGTTCCAAAAACTTTAAACTATTGTTAAAAAATTTAGCCTGACCTCTACGATGTCGTTGGTTTAAAAGTTGTCACCGTTGTAACAAACAGAAAAAATGTTTAAAATTTACTATAAACATGTTAACAAATGTCTGCATTTTAAACCAATATACTTTTCTAAACCAGTTTCCAAAAGTTACACATCTGGTCCGCCTGCCGATGGTTTGATATTTTTTCGCAATAACTTTGCATCATTTTGTAATTTTGTAATTTTAAAAATATATAATATTTAGATTTACTAATCTGTAATAAATAATTAATTAAACTTCTTAAAGTTTTTAATTTAATTTATTATTTATCATTGTTCAAAGAATTTATCAAGTTTTTTTTAAAAATATATTTTTTATTCTATTTAAATTTTAGTTAATTTTCAATTTTTTCAGAAACAAATTTTGATCTAGTTGTTATTGGAGGTGGGTCAGGAGGCTTGTCTTGTGCCAAAGAAGGTCATTTCATTTATGATTAATAAGAATTAATTTTGATTTGTTAAAAATAAAATAATTTAGAGTTTTTGATTTTGTTAAAATTTAAATATTAAATATCAATAGTATCATGTATCAATGTCCGGTTTGTTTAAAAACCTTTTAATATTTTAAAAAGGAATGATTCAATTATTTGGGAATTGATGTTGTCATATTTTGCTTATTTATATTAAAACTACAAATAATAATATGTAGCAGTAATAAAAACTTATCTTATTCAATTAAGTTTTCCATTTTAAGTGAATTAATTGAATTATGTTGCTGTTAATTTTTTAATTTTTCTAGTAAAGTTCATTTTTAGTTTATGACTTTATGTGTTTGTAAATTTTTCTAAACTATTCAAAACATTTTAAATTATATATTAAATTTTTATTTTTTGGCAATAACTTTCTATCTTAATAAAAGTTTTCTGATAATTTTCAGCTGCATCCCTTGGTAAGAAAGTTGCAGTGCTCGATTATGTTGAGCCTTCCAGCCATGGTTGGTTTGTTGAATAATGAACATTCAACTTAAATATTAATATTATTTATTTGGTTACATTTCTTGTTTCAACTTTTCATTAAAATTAGCCAAATTAAATGTTTTGTTTTCATTAGAAAATGCAATTGATAAATTGTGGTAATTTTGTAAATGACAGGCACAAAATGGGGCCTAGGAGGAACGTGTGTGAATGTTGGTTGTATCCCTAAAAAATTGTGCCATCATGCTGCACAAGTTGGAGGTGTCATTTCATACGCCAACAAGTTTGGTTGGAAGGTCCCAGAAAAAGTTCCTCACGATTGGTCAGATTACAGTCATTGTTAATTTTTTTCATTCTTAACTTTTGGAATTTTTTTTCATCTTGCATTTTTATAAGTTTCAAGCTTTATTTAGCTTTTTTAGATCATAGAAATTAATTTTCTGAATCTCTTCTCTTACCCAACAGTTTTTATTTTGTTTTAATGGTTTTTTTTTTCACTATTTGTTTTTTATTTGTTGTGGTTTATTGTAATGTGTGGTTAACAGGTCAATACCTATTAAAATCTTCATCTATTTTATGAGATTTGTTATAGCAAGTTTTTTGAGAAAGGAAACTCAAATGAAAAATTATTCAGCACTAATTGCTTAATAAAACTCTGTTATTGTGTATTTTCTGTTTGCAGATCATTATTTAGAATTTATGTAAAGTTGTTTCTCTCAATAAATTGCAGGGAGCTGATGATAAAAAACATTACAAATTACATTCGATCATTGAACTTCAAACATAGAGTCAAGCTAGTTGAAATGTTAGATCTGTTTTTAAATTTAAAAAACAATTATTTTAATTTTAGTATTTTCGTTTTATCAAATGCAAAACTTTATTCTTATAAATTTCAAACTTTTTTTTAATCCCCCTATTTAAAAAAGGAAGGTGAAGTATATAAATGCGAAAGGACATCTTCTTGATCCACACACTATCAAGGCAACTGCCAGATCCGGTGATAATGTAAATTTATGCTCAATTTTTTTCGTTTGCCGGTTCGTTAATTAATGACGGAAGAGTTTGGTTACCGAAAGATTTTAATAAATTCTTAGAAAGTTGAGCAGAGTAGTGTGTCATTTTAAACTAATTGGTTGTCTGTTATTAAATGAGATGAAGTAAGGAGTTTTTTTCTTGTGAGAACTGAGGAGAGGATTACTGTGGAAGGTGGTGACTGAGTCAGGATTGCAGTTCTGTGCCCAACCCAATCCTGGATTTATTCATTTATTTTAAAAATCGCCAACAATACCAATGACGAATCAGATCTCATTGTTGTGTTGTGAATATGTAATCTTGCTAGGTTCTTAGTCATTGTTACATGCATGATTCATTGAAACATTTATTTAATTAATTTTGTGCTATGCAGGTAACTGAAACGCAGATTAAAGCAGCCAACATCGTCATAGCCACAGGCAAAAGACCCCGAATACCGAATGTATTTTATTTTATTTCATTTTTAAATTTAATCATTCGTTCAGAACATTAGTTCAGTTGGTTGCTGTTCATGGGCAGCAGCGCCGTTATTGCACTTGGATAAATTTCAAATGTTCGCTAAGCAATCATTTCATGTGCTGGTCTTGTTTCAAATTATGAATTTCAATGTTTATTCCTGCATTAACTTGTTTATGGGAGATGGAATTGTGGCCTCAAATGGCCATTTAAAATTGGCGTTCATATAATTTTATCGTTTAGTTAGAACAATAAATTTTAATTTTAAAATAACTAGTTCAAAATTAAATTACACGAGTTTATTATTTTTATTTTAATATTTAGTTAGTGGTTAACGATGAAATTAGTTGCTGTTGATGATTGATACAGATTCCCGGTGTCTCATTATGCATCACCAGCGATGATCTCTTCTGGAAGAAGACACCACCTGGCAAGACGTCAGTGAGAACTCTTTCCTTTTTCAATCACCATCATCATCATTAGTCGTTATTATTCGTTGGTTTGTTTTCATTCACTTTTTATTTTTTTTAATTGAATGAACTTTTAATCTCTGCAGATTGTGTATAGGAGCTGGATGTAAGTTTTTCTGTCAACTTGTTCCATAATTTCATCAATTATTTCTAATACTTTCGATCTTTGATAACTAGGAAGCGTTACCTTTTTACATGTGACGTTATTTTTATTATTATTATTGTTGTTGTTATCAATTTTGTTTTAACTAATTTTCTGAGGTATCAACAGCGCACAATTCACGTGAGAGGCGGCGATCTGCTTGCTTTCGAACCCGGTGACTGCAACATTAGGACCAGGTTGCTGAAATATGACACCCTCTCACCTCCGGACGTTCAGTTACGTTCAACTCTGTTCATTTACGTTCTACCACATTCAACCTTATATAACAACGTGCCTTTCTACATCTAGCTATATTTAACCGTGTTTAACTACATTTAACTGCATTCAACTTTGTATTTTTCAGCACGGAGACACATTTTAAACTTTGCCTCATTTTTATTATTTTTCTCTGCATTCTCGTGCCAAACAGATGTTGCCTTGGAAGCAGCGGGATTCATACAAGGACTTGGTTATGAAACCACCGTTATGGCTCGTTCAGTTCCTCTCAGCAAATTTGATAAGGTTCTTTTTCTCATTTAACTTTTTGTTTGACAATTTTTGAATCCATTATCAATTTTCTATTAATATACTTTTGCAACTTATTCTGAAAGCCCGTGAATTCTTGAATTAAATAATTATTAAAAAATATTTTATATCTGTTTACTTTGTGTACAATGGTTCCCAACATCTTAATTTCGGCACATTAATTAAATCTGTTATTGAGCTTGAACATCTGCATTTTGTACATACTTCACTCACTAATTCTTCATTCACTCCATCACCCAGCAAATGGCGAAGTTGGTTACAGAATCGATGGAGAGACATGGCACAAAAGTTTTGGTAAACACGATGCCCGAAAAATTTGAGAAATCCGGAAGCCGGATAAAGGTGACCTGGAGGTCGAGTGACTCAGGGCTGAACAGCGATATTTTCGACACTGTTGTCATGGCGATCGGTGTGTTATTGTCATCCAACATTTAGTCCTACATAACGATCTATTTATTTGCTTACTACTATTACGTTCTCTTACATTCTCTGACCTTTTTGATGTTTTTAATTGACATAGGCTAAGATTTAATCATACGTGTTTTTGTAATTTATTAAATGAAACTTGCCTATCGTTCCTAGGAATAATCCCGTTTCCAACTAAATATTCTCTTTTTCGCTTCTCAGTCCTTTAATTGTTTTTTTTATGCTCCGTAGTTAAAAATCGTGGTCGATGATGACATTGTTCTTCATTGATTATTCTGAGATAGCAGTAGGTATGACGCATGCAAGAAAGTGATTTGAATGCAAATTCCGTCGACAAACAGGTCGGACGGCGTCTCCCAACCTTCAGATAGGCCTGCAACAAGCTGGTGTCACTCTGGATGTTGATGGCTGCGTCGTTGGTAACTTTCAGAACGAAAGAGAAAAATCATCTGTACCCCACATCTACGCCATTGGCGATGCATTACAAGTTGGTCCTTCACATCTATAACGTATACTGCAAAGTTGAAAAATTTTATTTTTTTTTTCTGATTTTAAAATTCCAAAAAAAAATTATTTTTATGTTTCAAGAATGTTTGCAATTATTATTATTATTCGAAAGAAGGTTTTTTGGAGAAGAACAAATTGAAATCGTGATAATAGTTGTTTTATGAAATTTTTAACCACATTCACTGTGCCCGCTGTATGACGATTATACTTTTATAAGAAATCTTTCTTATAATTTTTTATTTTTGTTTCGTTTCAAATAGGATTTTAGATAACGAACTAAGTTATTAATTCTTGCTATAAATAAATTTTGCGCCAGTTGAAAAAATTGTCAACTGCCTCTTAAATTGTGCTCAAATGACAATGGAATATAAATATTTATAATTAATAAATTAATTAATTAACTAAACAGAACGGAGTTGAGTTGACTCCTGTGGCCGCACGAGCAGGCAAGCTTCTGGCTCGCCGAATGTTTGGCTTTGGAAAGGAACAGATGGATTATAATAATGTCAGTTGCTCCTGGTCATAATTCAATCGTATCTTACCGTCATTTATTTTACTTTTTTGTGTAGTTCAAGTACCCCGTTAGCAACTGTTAAACGTATTTTTCACCAGATAGCCACAACCGTATTCACTCCGTTGGAGTATGGCTGCGTGGGCATGTCGGAAGAACTTGCTGTTGCAACGTACGGCGAAGAAAATGTTGACGTGTACCACGCTTTCTACAAACCACTTGAGTACACGGTAGCCGAGAATACAGTAGACGATAAGGGATGCTACATCAAGGTACGTACGTATTCATTAAAGATTTCTTCATTGAAGGTTGTAGTAGTCTGGCTGATTGATGATTGGGTGCCAATTTTTCAATTCGTTCAGATACTTTCAACAATAATTGCAAGATCCTTGATGAATCTTACGTATTATTTCATTTAAGTTAATCAAGACTGTTATAAAATAAAATTTTTTGAATATATAATTAAAGATTAGTTAAAAATGAAATATGAATGGATTTTAGGTGATTGTAAAAAGACAGCAGGAAGAGAGAGTACTGGGTATACATTTCACGGGACCACATGCCGGAGAAGTCATTCAGGGCTTTGCTGTGGCTTTCAGGTTCATTCTCATTGTCATTCAGTTACGTTTTTAAGGCATTAGCATATCAATTTTCTTTAATTTTTTGTAAAATTTCATCAGATAAATTTTTTTTCGTTGTTGAAATCTCTGCAATACAACGTTTCTCCTAAACAAGCGATAAAAATGCAATATAGTTCACTCCGATAACTATATGCTTAATGATTATTCTGAGAGTTTTAAAATAGGCTTTGACATTTGTTGCATGTCATTGATCAGGTGTGTAGTGACTTTTCAAAAGCTGGTGTCAACAGTTGGCATCCATCCAACCGTAGCAGAAGAGTTCACGAAACTGCACATCACCAAACGGTCGGGACTCGATGCTACAGTTACTGGCTGCTGAGGTTAAGCGGAACATTCTGTCCTTCTGCTGACAGGTCTCTTATTTGTTATCATCAATTTTTTTCATAACCGTCTTATTTTTTGTTTTTGTTTTTCTCCAAGTAATTTCTGCTTCACGCATATCGACATTAAAACTTGTTTTTATGTTAATTTTCTTCCACAGAATGTTCCGCATACAGTTCCGAAGGCTCCCATCAGATTTCTGAAAAGTTCCTTCACAGCCAGATGTAATAATGACCAGCTATGCCTTTTTCTATATAAATAAGCCAAAAATAATTTACTTTCATCCTTATATTTAACATAATGTTCGTCAACAAACTTTATTGAACAAAATCGCCAAGACTGTTCAATTTTATGTAACAATCCTGTTTAGGAATTACTTTTAAATATTCTGGACTTATTTTAATTTTGGTTGAATTATATGAATAAGGCATTAATGCAGGAAATAGTTAATGACAATGACCTTTTAAACCTTTAGAGGGCAGAGGTCGTTCGATGAATATCTATTACTGCATTTGATCGTTATGTTCTGGCTTATTTCGATTATTTATATATTTGTTTATTTATTAAATCCCATTTAAAAATTAAAAAAAAATTTGTTAGTTATTGTTGACCATTGTTTTCTACTAGCAGACATTTTTTAGGAAAATGTGGAATCTTTTCAATTGTTTTGTTTGATAAATATATAATTTTTATGTTTTATTAATTTATATAAAACGTGAACCATAAATTTTGTAATTTCAATTGGGGCTTCTAAATATTTGCTATTTCGCAGTATTTCAAAATTTTTGATGTAACAGAGGAAGTTAGTCGTGCTCGCCATGTCACATTTTCAAAAATGTGTGTTAGTTTAAGTAGTTAGTGTGCATATAATTTCTTTAAACAAAGCAAATTTAGTTATTTAGCAAAGTGAGTTACTTAGTGTCGTATTCCTCATCTTTGTAGTTGTCATTTCCTTGTTCTATATTGTTATTGGAGTTAGTATTAAGGCGTCAAGTTGGTAATAATGGCCTTTGTTGGATGTTTAATTTGTTAGAAATATTGAAAAAAGTAACAAAAAACTATCTAAGCTAGAAATATGTTAGATTGCATAAATTACTGCATCATTATTGAACATCCAACAGAATGATTACATCATTACCAACTCGACGCCTTAGTACTAACTCCAATAACAATGAAGAACAAGTAAATAACAACAACGAGGAAAAATACGACACCAACTAAGTGCTAACTTCGCTATGTTTAAAAAACTATATAAACCAAAGCTGCACTGAAGACGATTTGTGAAAAATCGAAATAAGGCCTATCTGCATGACGAATTTGGATAACAACAGTTTTATTAAATTTTCGTGATGAACTTGGATAATAATTCTATTTTCAATAAATTGAACAATGTCCAACAAATTCTAGTAAGTAAAATTGAAAAGACAAAGCAAAGTTTAAATTGATTAATACCAACAACTCGGTAGAATTCATATAATACTGTATAAAATATTTTCTCCTTCATATTTTTTTTTTTTTTTTTTTTCAATCCAATTTTATTCGGCAAAAATCAAACCAGGAGATCCAAAAAAGAAAAACTTGTGCAGACCACCTTAACTAAAAAAAATAAAAAAATGTGCCAAAACGAAATGTAATGAACAATAATGTCCATTTATAAAACAAATACAGGAAGATAAAAAATAAATGCAATTAGTATTTATTCATTATCACAAATTTTTTTCCTAGCAACTATTTTAAAATTGTTCAAGG